ACCATGGTAACGAGGATTGTTACACGCACGTGCACGTGCAATGATTGTTTTAACGTCATTTTGATCGGTTTTGTTGATATTACGCTGTGTTTAGTACGAGCAACATTTTAATCGGCTGTATCTTCAGTTGTGTACTTGTGTAGGATATTATTGACACGATTTAAACTTACTAACAAAAATACTATTAGTTTCCTCCCTTACCACGGGTTTTCTAGTTTCTGTATAATGTCTGTCTGTCTGTACGACCGCCCACGTGCAAATTAGACGAGAAATAGGAAGCTGCGTAGTAACCATGGTAACGGTATTCAAAAGCGCACGTACACGTGCAAAGATTGCCGAGCGATATTTTGATAGATTTTGTGGTACCTTATCGGACCTTATTTGAACGGACATTAATTGAACGCTGGAGGTCCTAGCGTTCATCTTAATGTCCGTTCAAACAAAGTCCGTCCGTTTAAAGGTTTAAGGTCCGTCCAATTTAAAGTCCGTTGAGGTTTTTTCAAAATTGTTCCACTGCGAACTCATGTTTAGGATATGACAACTTTTTAATTTCAGTCAATTGTAATTTCTATCATCGGATTCGGACTAAACTATATCATTGGATCAATGAAACACGAGTTATTATGAAATTTAAATATTCTAAGCATCACATTATGGCATGATCACTATCTTGATCTTTTGCTTCCTTGTTCACTTCTTCGGAGTTCATATTTACCTCCACAATATCTTGTTAAAGTTTACACTGAAATGCAGGACCGAGGTGGTCAAATAATTTTTTTTTCTTCAAAAAGCAGGTATTACTGATATGATGCTTTAAGCATGGAATATTTAATGCACGATAACCCATTTGAGAAAGATGACCTGTGATATGGTCATCAAATCTGGTCATATTTCGAATCTGTTGTTTTTACACAACTTTCATAATCATAGACACTGATCTACAGATATTTTGACATTTTTTTACTGCTTAACGATTGCCTTTCTTGCTCATCACAGTGCTGGCAAGCACGACCGTTGCATTTATTGTGGGTATACTATGTTCCCCATTTACTATAAAGCTATAATACCCCCTTTACTATTATACCCCCTTTACTATTATACCCCCTTTACTATTATACCCCCTTTGGTAGTGTTTTTAGTTCAAAACATTCTAATTTGATGTCAAAGATGACAGGAATAAAAAATAGTTATGTTGAGATTTTTAAGAAATTTGCATAAAATAGTCGCCAGCACTGTTATACGAAATTCGGTAAAAAACCCAAAATCGCCATATTCAGGTGCCTAAAAACCATGTTAAAATTGAGTTAGAGATGTGAAATTTTTAAGGGCGTCTAGACGTTGACCAAATCGACTGCAAAAAAAATTTCAGGTTTCAGGAGCATCGGGAAATGGGTTTTCTAGAACCCCTGTTTTACGACAGATTGTCGGGACATATACATACAGATATACATATATATTCAGGGATAGACGCTTTGCCAGTCAATTGTAGCCTGTATTTAAGTGTCCATAGATTCAAAAGTATAAAAGATACAGCCATTTCCGACCACAGGTCTTGCAAACAATTGTTTACACCTTAGTTTACATTGTATACAAAAATTATTTGACGTCATAAACACCCCTTGATGACGTCATCAAGTTAACCGTTTTTAAAACTTGATTTTTGACAAAGTAATAACTTTTAAAATTAATTTTAAACCATTAAGGAGTAATTTTATTCAAAATCTGAGGAAATTTTCACCTTAGATAATTGTTCAAGCATTCTGAAAATCTACCGGAAAGTTTTTCTAGCTTGCTCCTTCATAAAGATATTCGTCATTGAAGTTTGTGCTTTTTTGAAGAATTATTTTATAAAAACGTCAATTTTGCGATTTAGTATTCTCTGGTGTTGGGCCATGCCTTGGATTGTGGAGCTCAGTTCTGCTTCCTATAGGTATAAATTGTGCATTAGGCTAGTTTTAAAGTTGAAAATCAAAAAGTTGCACACGTTGGGACACGCCCAAATTGATAGAAAATTGCTAAAATCACTGAAAATTACTGTTTTCGCCATTTTCTGTCAACTTTAGAGTGCCGTTGTGATTACAGTTCTTCTTGAAATACTTTGAAACTTTGCATGCTTATCAAGCTATATATAAAACAATTACATGCAAAAATTTACGGCGATTTGATATTAGATGCGCACGCAACGTCCGCTCAAAGTTTGCACGTGCGAAAGGTGAGAATTTTGCTCATTCGTGATTTCCAACAAATTCTGCTTTGCCACGACAGTTTAATGTCATTATATATGAATTTAATGTCAACTTGAATGAGTATTAAGTGGTATATTCAGTCAGTGATGGACCGATATGCTTACCTAAACACAAGGAAATGTTTTTAAAGGAAACATTTCGAAATCGTTGAAACTTCCTCCTTATTATAATGAAGATATCAGTTTATATTTCGACTTTATAAAGTACCCTGACATTATAATCAAAAAGAGATGATATTTTACCAAAACCCATAATCATGGGTAGAGTGGACCGCTGCCAGTGTCTCTCTTTCCCAAACAAAAGGAAATGATATTAATTTGATTGACCGTTCTCAAATGCAAAATGATACCGAGAATGAAATCGGTCGCTCGCTTTTCCCATTCATTTACAATTGTAATAGATTAAGAAGAACTACCCAAAGGCAGCTGTACTCGGCAATGAAGATTCAATAAACTTCAGCTTGTTCAATAAGTAATAACTACCACCCTTGTCCCTTACCCCGAAATACTAGGTATCTACCCGAACGCAACCCAAAGATATTTTTACAGCATCTGATTGATGTAATCAATCGAAACTTATATATACAATTCGTAAGCCGTAATGGGAAAAGCGAGCGACCGATTTCATTCTCGGTATCATTTTGCATTTGAGAACGGTCAATCAAATTAATATCATTTCCTTTTGTTTGGGAAAGAGAGACACTGGCAGCGGTCCACTCTACCCATGATTATGGGTTTTGGTAAAATTGTATGAACAATTTATAATTTACAAATAATCTGCTAAAATTTTAAAAACGCAAAAAAAAAGATGATTTTGAATGCCTTCGAGCGTTCATTTTAATGTCCGTTCATAATTATAATGTATGTTCATTTAATTTCCGGTCAAATACGTTGTGTTTAGTGCGAGCTACATTTTAATCGGCTGTATCTTCGGTTGTGACGGATATTTTTTGATGCGATAAAATTAACTGACTATACCAAAGAATACTATTAGCTTCCTCCCTGTGACCACGGGATTTCTAGTAATATAATAAAAACGATTACCTTACAAGACATTTTTATAACGTACGAAATGCGACGGTTTTCCCGAAATTTCGCCATATTTTCGGACCGCCAAAATTTCGGTCGTCGTAATAGAATCCGTCGCATTATTTTTAGCTTATTCCAATAATTGTGGCTTCATCGATTCATTTTGTTCTTGAAAAGTTAGTGATATGATGGTGGGACAAATAAACACAATATTCCATGATGAATTTAATGTCAAGTAATACGTTTTAAATTTACAATAAATTACATTTATGTGCTAACATAAACGTCTTATAAGAGACTAAGTCAAGATAAACAATTTAATACCAAACTCAATAAGTGAAACTGAAAGAGTCGAGCCGGACCCCTTAGAGGAAGATGAAGAAATCGATTTATAAGTTTCATTTTGTTTCAACATGATTTTACCGATTTTTAGAAAAGTTTGAATTTCCTTTAGCTTTGTGTCAGAAAACAAAATGATGAAAAATACCCTTATTTTCTGTGACGTCCGAAATGTGACGGTTTTTGTTCAATTTCGCCATATTTTCGGACCGCCAAAATTTCGGTCGTCGCAAATTGGTCCGCCACAAAAATGTCTTGTAAGGTATCACGTGCGCCAAACACCACTCTGGGATGCAATACAAGTAAAACAATTACATTGTAGGCAGTAGGGAAATTTGATCGTGCTTGGTGTATTGTGTAACCGCGGAGAAATTATTGTTTAGCTTTAAAGTCGGAAAATCAAAGTATGTAACTTTGATTCAATATTCAATATTCAATATTGAACAAGGGCCCTAATCAGGTTCTAATCAAGGGCCCTAATCAGGCCATACGAGCCTTAAGTTTAATGTTAAATATATGTGGGGATTTATAAAAGGAAAATTGCGTCGACTCATCGACTGTCAGCTGTAGTTTAGAAGAATAGGGCAGTGGAGATCAGAGATAGCTTGTTACTTTGTTAGCGTCTCGGGTTGCACTTTTGATTTGAGAATCAAATTTCAGAATATTGTGAATTCTTAATCTTAAATTGGATTGTGAGCTTTGCAAGTTCTTATCGGCATCTGCAGAAATTCAATACTATTACGACACTATTGGCACAGCCAGTTGAGTGTATCACAATGAAAAACATTCTTGTTATATCACGACAATTTTCTTTCCTGGTACTACTGAATTTTGAAATCTATGTAACTGATGTAACTTTGGCATGACTTTTAAAGTTTTCTGCTCGTCGCATTTTTGAAACTTGAGAAATGATTGAAGATTTCTCTAACCACTCCAAGGAAGACACTGATTGGTTTGCTCATAATGTCGGTTATTCTCTTATCGTCATGGGTAAGTTGTAAGATACCATTTCTAGTAATTATACTAACTGTACAATGCACTGATGAAAAATAGCTGAGGCCTTACGTAAGAATAAAATAACTATTTATGTGAACTATACTTTTTTGAAAAATCATTTTTCAAAAAAGTATGCTTCAACGTCAGGCTGTTTGGGAGTTGTGTTCAATACGATCTGTCTGATCTACTTCATCAAACTGAAGACCGAGTAAGTTAACCCAGTGATTGATAATAGAATGCACGAATATTAAATTAAAAAACTCTTTGTCACCTATTATATTACCTGTGTATCACCTATATTCCTGTATCAAAAGTTTTCTCTTCTCTATATGATCTCCAAATAATACCGGGGTCCGGGATCATAATGATTAGCTCACTGGCTTTGCTTCAGGACAGCATACTCCATGTTTGCAAGAATAGCGTTCATCAACCTGGCGGTAGTTGATCTGCTGCTATCTATCTCATCTGCTTGCATACGAGGTCCTGGGTTCGTTGATCCTGTCTTCATATGGGGGTCTAAAGTCGCAAAGTCAGGTACCATCTTGATAAAGTGATTTATTAATTAAATACCCGTGGCGAGTCGTTAATTATATGTACATCGAAGAAATTATTTGAAAACCGATTATTACAACAACTCGACTAACAGGTGATTTCAGCAAATGGTGTGAAGCTGGTACCCTAATCACGTGGTTCATCAGTGACCTCAGCTTGTTGGGTGTCATCCCCCTTTCCTTCATGTTCGTGTTCTTATACTTGCCCTTCCTGTCGCTCACCAAACTCAGCGTAAGTCAAAGTTTCTTGTTATATCTGAAAAGATTTCTTTAAGAGGCACACATAAAATACAACTTTATTACCCATATAAACATGGATTATTTCAGTTGTTGCTGTGCATTATCAGTTGCTGGAGTGTACCAGTATTGGAGATGATGTTCATACTCTCTTCCATAGCTCAGAAGAAGATTATTGTTCAATATGAGGTAAGATTTTTAGCTCGTTTAAAATTCTTAGTTTTGAAGCTCAAAGACAAAACCCCTGGTTTTAGAATCCCTCATGACCACTTAGTCCACTGTGTTGACGTCATACTTTACAGGACGTGTACAGACGTTGCACTCTGAGGGGGGAATATTCACGCTATCTAGACAGGGAAAATGCTTCCGTCTTCTTCGCTATTCCCCTGGGAGTAAGTTTAAACTTATTTCAGTCAGCTTATTGATATCAACCAAGGTTTTGACTGTTAAGAATTATATACTGCTGAATCAGTGCAGTGCTGATTAATTGTTTTATCCTGGGAGATCGATTTCATTCATCAGTCTATCAACTGCATAGAAACTCGTTTAGTGCTACTGCTAATAGGAATAATCTTAATTAGATGAAATAGAAATATTTTTCAGATTCATATCATATCCTGGAGTCTGATCATATTTTACGTTTGTCGTGTTGGAAACGGTTATCAGGACAAACAATGGTGGAAATTCCTTAAAACCGGTTTGTTTTCTGTTAGAACACAATAAATGCTTTATTATTTCGCTCATGGTGTCAGCTGTAGGTCGAGACTGATCCAATTAAGTCTCTCATGTGTGCCACACTTGAGACACTCACTTTAGCTAATGAAGCTACGCGACAAATCTGAGCTAAATGTTGAGACAGTCTCTTAAACCGTATTATAACTCAAACCGTAAGTTCAACATGTCAAGTTCCAGTTTATATGTACTAAGTTATAAATTTATAACTGAAAGTATAACCTCCCAGGGGTGATAGTGGTAGTTACCTTCACCTTCACCTGGCTGCCCTACTTTATAGCAGTGGTCTGGCAAACCATGGAGCCTGACGGCTGGTTCACCTTTGTGTACTGCTTCCTCTACTCCTCCGTTATACTGAACCCTCTAGTCTACGGGATGAGGTCCATGCAGTTTAATGGTAAAACTATCGGAGATATAGTACGGAATCTGTGTGGGGAGTTCAGAGCTAGAGCCATGTCCCGGGCCCGGCCAGCACCAGCTCTTAACCAGGTTGTAGGAGTGGAGAACAGTACTTACTCTTCTTATCAGGATCTGGACGAGGACGAGGGGGAGGATATGAACACTATCGCTTAGCTTGACAGCTAAATAAGGAACATTTTAGTAACAATTACGAATTAAAAAGTAAATGAGCTGGTGATCAGTTGTCTCAGGTCGTCATAGCAGTGACACTGACAATGAATATTTTAAACAGAATCGATATACCTTATCGGACTTTATTTGAGAGGAAATTGATTGGACGCTAAAGGACCTAGCGTTCATTACAATTTCCGTTCAAATTTTGACGGACGAAGTAGATGGCTCCTTGAGCGTTCATTTTCATGTATTTCGTTCAAAATCATGTTCGTTCATGCAATTTCCGGTCAAATAAGGAAAGATTTAATATGTCTCATTTATCTGTATTTTCAATTTTGTAAGAATTAGCATAGAGTAGAGTATCAGATACCTTACAAGACATATCTATGTTCGACATAATTCCGGTGACCTAAATGATTTGGGAACGAAAATATGGGAATTTTTAACAAAAACCGCCACATTTCGCACCCCAAATTTAATCATGGTATTTTGGGATTTTTTAATCTCCTTTAATTTTACAAAAAATGAAACCCAATATTCTAGAAAATTAAATACAAAAATCTTCTCTGATCAGCTGTTTTATCTTGTAAACAATTTCGCCGGAGCCTTTGAAAGTTAGCCTCAACTTAACTTATAATCCTCCAAAGGGTATAGGAGTATAGGAGACCGACACTGACAGTGTTCGTTATTTTCATTCCCACTACTCCTGAAATTTCACCGCTGTGGCCAATAAAGTAGTGACAGAGCTTGCTTATTTTTAATGGATAACGTGTCCAAAATCATTTTAAAGCAATTCATGATCGAATACTTATGTTTATTAATTGTTTGATGAATCATATTCATAATTTACTATATTGATAAGTTGATAGTAAATCGATAAAGTCTTAATTTAGGAAAATACGTGAAAAATTATATGCAGAAAACAATGATGGTGACTTAAATTTTTAGTCCGAAAATATGGTGTTTTTTCGAAAAAAAACACCGACTTTTGTAGTCGTACCTTTTAAATATGTCTCGTAAAGTAATATAATAGTAATACGCTGAGTTTAACTTGGAGTTGGATTGTTGTAGTTATTCGTTTCGAAGTGTATGTTTTTACGTTTTAATTACTAATGTAAAGATATTAGTTTTAATATTAACGGGTGATACTCGTAAAATATTTGGACCGTCGACGAGTCCAACTCTGAACTCGGCGCGCGTCCTGGTACGGTGTCGGTAGGTTATAAACCTACAATTTTAATATAAAATTAAAGGCCACTTCCTCACAATTGTTTCAAGGTTTTCAAAATATAACTTTTAATTTTGTGATCCTTTGCTAGTTAGTCCTGACATTCTTTTCCTCAAAATATAAAATAGGCCAAACATCTACCAACAATGTTTTATAAAAGTTTTAACTTGTATAAATATAATTGTTCTGAGCGTCAGTGTAACATAATGTTACCTCTACCCTGTTGCTACACCAGAAAGGAAAAATAATTTACTTTACGTACGTTATATTTTACTATTATAAATGTTATCAATGTCTACGTCTCGTCCATGATAAAGGCGTGGGCCGCAACGTTGACAACTATTTGTTTGATAAAACTGAGTGGAGACTCTCACTTAATAATAATTGTCCCAAAACATCAAATATAATTTAAAACTTTAATTGAAATTAAACGAAAAAGTATGGAAACTTTCGATGGAGTTTAAGTGATTAACTATTTGTTTTTTACCTTTTATGCTTTGATAGACTTCGCTTGAGCCATAGGTTTTTAACAAAAAGTGACAAATTAATAATTATCATCACATATGCATAAATTGAAAAACTTTGGAAGTTTGAACCAGTTATATAATATTTATAAACCGGCAAAAGAAAACAAAGCACCTAGGACTAAAAAGATTGACAGAATAGAGAAAAAATCATTTAAGTCTGGGTACATATCTTGGGATAGCTGATACAAAATATCAAGCTGAATGAAGGTTGTGATCATGTCATTCTATTTTTATAGAGGGTTCAAAATTCAATTTTGTTCCGTCCAATTCTTGCATGTTTGAGGTTTTGAGGTCCTGGGAATGTGGCTCGGCTAAAAGTATAAAAAAGTGATATTTTTATCTATCCTCTGACACTCCCTGAACTGCTTTAAAAAGTTCCATGTAAAAATATTGATCGGTCATTGAGATATGTGATAATATATGAGACGTTCCTCATGCCCGGAACGAGCAGTATCTGGCTAAGTTGCGCAGTTTCCGTCATAAAACCACAAAAATCACTCTTATCAACCTAACTGTTAATGTTCCTGGATGTAAAATGTATCAAGGAACACAGTGGTGAAATCTATTTGATTCTAAAATGTATCGTTTGGCCGGTACATCAATTTTCAAGGTCAGCATGCCCATATTTGGGCATTATGCCAAATAATCGCCTCCTCATGCATGAAAAACTTGCAAATGAACACGACGATAATATCCACAAGAGGCATTTTATAAGTTTGAGTTCATGATTGTAAAAATTATCAACATTTCGTAGCACTTAACAAATTCATTAATTATTATCAAAAGTTATAGTTTTATTAATTATTATCCTGAACGAAAATAAATTTACATACATATTTTACCTATACGGTGCAGAAACCACCAAATTGGACAGTTATTATTGCCAACATATGTCCACCTCCAACGATTGCTTTAAAATAGGCCCACTGCATCTCATTTCAAAAAAACAATACAGATGTTGGGTGGCTAAGAGGTCCACACTGAAAAATCCAGCTTACGATCTTCATTTAACATTTTGACATTTTGGGAAACCACTGAATAACAAAATTTGAATCATTTTCAAACATAAAATTCAGAACTCAGAAGAATGTTCGGAAATAAAATGCATGATTTTAAGAAAGACTTTTAAACATCACTGGTAATTGTTACTTGTACTTTTTCAGCTTAAACTCTCTTTCTGGCACTACTACTAGTGCTCACAAAATTCGGTGTAGTGGTTGAAATTGCTTCCTTTTTCGCATATTTTTCAGGGGTTTTTCCATTTTCAGTAACGAGAGCCTCAGTCCCATTTTGAGTGGAGACAGCCACATCCCCCTGTCTAACTGACAGCACGCAACTCAAATACACCATTGCTTTTGGGTAATCCTCAAACTTGTCAGCTTTAAACGAGAACCTCTTGCGAGTAGCCTCATCTGTCTTCAGAAACTCAGCCGAGAGAGACACTATTTTGTAGTTCTTAATAAGTGTTTTCTGCAGTTCATCCAGCTCATTCAAGGTTATGTGAGTGCGACACGATTCTATCTCTAGGACAGCCCCCTTCTCTATTGCTTCCACCTTAGCCTCAGCGAAGATATTCTCCCCAGCATTTTCTATCTTGAGAGGCATGTCCAGTTCCTCAGTGAAAGAGGAGTCAGAGTAAAGGTGTAAGGAAAAGGACCAGGGTGTAAAGGTATGGGTAGATTCTAGACTTATCTTATCAATCACATAGGCACTAACTGTCACCTCCTCAATCTTCATTGGTCGTGGGGTGTATCTGCAGGATACGTCCATCAGTTTCTTTGTCTCTGAGTGGGTGTGAGAGTAAACGCTATTCATGTAAATAGTCTGTTCTCCGTCCGTCCGACTCTTGAACCCACAGGAGGCGAGTGAAGCGTTGGTTGCCTGGTAACCAGTACTTTCACCTGACCAAGTAAGATTACAGCCCGACTCTCCGAGGGTGACATTGACTGGATAGTCAACATATCGGACCCTGTTATAATGATACCTGTCGTAGTATGATTTAGTGGTTGGAGTTGGTAGGTTGAATGCTGTCGGCATGATACTCAAGGACATGTCCAGGTCGCTGCACTGGATGTCTGTGGCGAATGATATACTGATCTCAGTGTACGGTTCAAGTTTAACGTTGCTATTTGGGATCAATTTGTAAGAGGAGACAAGGTTGGATCCACGTAGGATACTGTTCTCGTTACTATTGCATTGTAAGCTGAACGGGTCATGAGATGTCAGGCAGGTTTTATATCGATTGAAGGAACTAGTGGAATAGTGTCTCCTAATCAACACGGGTGTTATCTTACCTTTAAACCCTCGTCCGATTGCCCAGGTATTGGTGCCGCTACTTTCCTGTTCAAGGTCTTCCTGCTCCATTACTTCAGATGCTAACTCTCTCAAAGGTGATTTGTTCAAACCTTTGGTGTACATGCTCGGTTGCGGATACACGGTGAGCAGGATAAAGTGCCATTCGTTCATCGTGACATTGCAATTGGGAAAATTGAACACTTTGTGACTGCCCGATTGCTCAACTACCATGAGTTTAAGTTGGCTTGCTTCCATTACAAGCTCATAATGATGAACGAGTTTGAATTCGATTATCTTATTCAAACCAGCAGTGTTGTTTTCAGGTTTTATCCAAGTTCCTAGAGATACCATTCTTCCTCTTGACCCGTAACTCCAACCGGTATAAATCGTATCTTCAATATCTATGTCACTGACATTGTCATCTGAATCTCCCATTGCAACCTGAGCGTAATCTTCATTGCTTCCATCAAAGTAGAATACACCGACCTTTTCATCACCAATTTCAACTCTAAGTCCTGAAGTTAAACCAACGAGCACCAGACCCGTTATCAAAACAAATGGTAACCTCATACCGGCTAGAAATGGTGTAATACATATTCTCGTGACATATTTAGAGAGAGATTATCTAATTTGCAATTCCTGTAAAATAATCGGTCTGGTTAGTCCGAGGAGACTTAAGATAATTTCATGGAGAGGACATTTCGCCGGATTAACACAGGATTGAAAATTAATCATAAACTGGCTCTCTTGAGCAGCTCTCGGAGTGAAGCAAAGTGGAAGTGGGGGATATAAACTGTCTTACAGCACGTTCAAATCAAATTTGTATTCTGATTCATGATAGATAAGCGTGTCGGGTTGCATGGTTTATTCATGGTACTATGAGTATGGTTGGTTTCTAGTGAGCCCACTTCACGCTTGCAAGTAACAAATTCAATGTAATATATAACCTTTCTAAGAATAATTGGACGTTGTAAACCTTAAAACACAACCGTGACATTACTCTACCACTTACAGTTACCACCTTAAAACACAACCGTGACATTACTCTACCATTTACAGTTACCACCTTAAAACACAACCGTGACATTACTCTACCATTTACAGTTACCACCTTAAAACACAACCGTGACATTACTCTACCACTTACAGTTACCACCTTAAAACACAACCGTGACATTACTCTACCATTTACAGTTACCACCTTAAAACACAACCGTGACATTACTCTACCACTTACAGTTACCACCTTAAAACACAACCGTGACATTACTCTACCACTTACAGTTACCACCTTAAAACACAACCGTGACATTACTCTACCATTTACAGTTACCACCTTAAAACACAACCGTAACATTACTCTACCACTTACAGTTATCACCTTAAAACACAACCATGACATTACTCTACCGCTTACAGTTACCACCTTAAAACACAACCGTGACATTACCCTACCATTTACAGTTACCACCTTAAAACACAACCGTAACATTACTCTACCATTTACAGTTATCACCTTAAAACACAACCGTGACATCACTCTACCACTTACAGTTACCACCTTAAAACACAACCGTGACATTACTCTACCACTTACAGTTACCACCTTAAAACACAACCGTGACATTACTCTACCACTTACAGTTACCACCTTAAAACACAACCGTGACATTACTCTACCACTTACAGTTACCACCTTAAAACACAACCGTGACATTACTCTACCACTTACAGTTACCACCTTAAAACACAACCGTGACATTACTCTACCACTTACAGTTACCACCTTAAAACACTACCGTGACATTACTCTACCATTTACAGTTACCACCTTAAAACACAACCGTGACATTACTCTACCACTTACAGTTACCACCTTAAAACACAACCGTGACATTACTCTACCACTTACAGTTACCACCTTAAAACACAACCGTGACATTACTCTACCACTTACAGTTACCACCTTAAAACACAACCGTGACATTACTCTACCACTTACACTTACAGTTACCTAGACACAGAACCTACAAGAACTTTGAAATAAACAAATGTTGATCCACGAACTCGGGCAGTATCCAGATAGCCCGACCCCTGTCGAACAGCTGTTCACGAACAGATGTTCGTGAACAACTGTTCCCTATCTGGATACTGCCCGAACTCGATTGCCCTTACGTGACCTTATGTAAATCTTCTTTCCTTGATGTATGATTGACGTGTCCTGCACCTCAGATACGAATGCCTCATTGTTGATCTCTAGTCAAGAAAACCTATCAAATGTCTCAACATAACATAAACTTACTTCTTCATTCGTCCATAATTAGGTACCTAGCTAATTAAGCTGCTGATACTGATTAGAATCAATTACGTTAAAAGAAAAGTGAGAAATGAAACACATGTTAGTTACACAAACCTCTTCCTCAATGTACGAGTATTGAGGACCTTTGAAGCTATGTTTTTATTAGCTTCTAGTAAACGTTTGCTTATTTTGCTTGTACACAACAGTTCTATCATGTTCATTAATAAATAATGATAACTTAAACAGTTTTTTTGTCGATAATATGTTGACTTCCTAATTAGATTCGAATATCCTCCATTATTGTATAACTCATTCACACAGGTTCATTCAACCTTCTATCAGCAATTTAATCATTGATTTTTGTTCGCACTTTTGATTTTAGTTATGCTGAGTGGATGAGGATTGAGGAAGTAGCATTTTTTTCGGGTTGCCTTTTGTTTTGTTTGGGAAGTTGTTCTACATATAGATTAAGATAATATACCCAGAAAATCATAGAATGCTTATCTGACGATGACGCTGATAGTGATATAAATCAATTGATAACATATAAGGCAAGTCAACATTATTTGCATTCGCTGGAACCAAATCTCTATTTAAAACCAAATTCATGTAAATAAACGGTCTTGATTTTACTTTTAACGCTGAAACCTGAAATATGCTATTCAATACATAATAAATGTTTCGTAATTTATGCTTTAGATCCCAGAGATCGTATCCTGCAATCCTTTACTATTTTATTAACAATGATATCACTTCTCAGGATTTATAGTTTCGTTAACAAAAATAGTCACGACCATGCGTGATGGGTTTGGTAACGGTAATTGAAGATTTTTTTGTTATAGAAATTGATGTTTCTTTTCTTCAAAATTTTGTATGAGAGACAACGTTTATTTAACTGACTGACGTTAAAAACAAAAAAAAATCGATTTTAATGAAAGGAGTATTAATAACTCAAGCATATTTTATCCCCACAGAGTATACCCTTGACGTATTGGTGAAGAGAGCCAAAAACTTGCCTCTTTTTGACAAGAGTGGACATCAGAGTTCCGTCTTCACAGTAGGATTTCAGGGATGGAAAAGCAAAAGCAAAGTGTTTGACAATGATCTTAATCCACGTTACAACGAAATGTTCACCTTTCCAATTGGGATGCATGGCATTATTGAAGATGACAAAATTGGGATAAATGTAGAAACCTACAAAACGACGGGGCGAGGTCGCTCCCTTGGAAACATCACCCGAATTTTTCCAGTTAGCGAACTAAGAAGTGGGAAGGCGGTGAATTGTTCATGGGCCCTAAGTGACAATAACGGTTGCCTTAACGGAGCAACAATCGAACTAGAGTTAAAAGCAAAGTTTTGGCCTGAATTGAAAGTCGAAGAAAAAAAGATACAGTCAAAGCCAATAAACACGACGTTACTGCCAAAAGAGGTTGATACGTATAGGTTGCGTTTTCTGGTCCACAAATGCACTAAGCTAGTCCAATCACCCTGTTCGGCAATAGTAGTGATTCGCTTTGGAACAGACATCAAGTCAACCCAGATTTGTGAACTCACTCAAGATCCTGAATTTGAGGAGGAGATAAACTTTGTCGTCTACATGAGTCAGAGAGATATAGCTAAAGAAATTGTGACGATTGAGGTTTTAAATACCCTACGAACTGATAAAGAAGCGGTGGTAGGAGACTTTAAATTTATGGTAGAGACTGGATTCACTGGGGAGGCGGTAGGATGGGATGAGCCAGCTTATGAGGCCAACACAGTTTGTCGAACCATGACAAAGAAATGGATAATTTTAACTAATCCGTTCCAAACTCCAAAGAATATAAATGGCTTTGTTAACATGTCGTTTAGCGTGTTGCAATCAGGACAGTCTTTGGAACAATCGCCCATAATCGATCCCATAATACTCGATGTGTTAAGAAACGTGATGAGGCCGAGTGAGGTAACTGCTCAATACAAAAGGGTATATTTCAGAGTTTACCTTGCCGAAGATCTCCCAATCATGGATAATCCTGACGATATGTCTCATGTCATGGAGAAAATGAGATTAACGAGGGCGGCATTCTGTGACCCGTATGTTGGCATTTCCTACTGCGGGGTGGAAGCAAGAACTTCCATAAACTATGCTAACTACAACCCCCGGTTTAACACTGACATAATATTTAACATCGAAATACCAGCTGTAACCGATACAGTAGTAATAACACTTTATGATTACGACGCTGATAAAATCAACTCAGCAGATATACTAGCCACGAAGCACTTATCTCTCACCGAAATATCATATTTGTCAGATGACGAATACGGTTTCGATCCAACATTCGGCCCCTCTTTAGTGCCCTTCTATGGTTCGCCGAAGCATTTTGAACACTCTCAACACCCTGAACTGAACGAAGGAGCAAATGGTATCGGGTATAGAGGAAGAATACTGCTGGAGGTGTTTACAAAACCCAGCTTCTCTGTTGGGATGTTTGCCAACACTGCCCCTGCCCCCGAAGAGGCAATAAAGAGGGCAGCCAAGGGACTACGAACCCAAAAGTGTGTTCTGGTGATGGGTGCAATGGAAGCAACTATGATCCCAAAAGAGTTTGCAGACAACCCAGTTAGCTTTGAGATATCTGTGGGCGAGTTTGGCTATGCAAACTCTTTATTTACTAACCCGACTACAAGTAAGATATGGCCTCAGGCACCTTTGTTTGACTCAGTGAATTACTACTGGCTAGAATTTGATATAGATCAGGCGTGCATTATACCAATGGAATGGGAACATTCAATATTTCGACTTGAGCATTTGAACATTCTGGAAAGAATCAGAGACTTTTACAGAAAGTCTTTGGATGATATCGATGACGATATACAAAAAGAAAAAATCCCCGCTGACATAATCTCTTCTATGAAGATTCTGGTGAAAAGAACTATAGACAGGTGCGGCATTACTCTACCAGATCTACCAGATAGTGCCAATAACTTAGACAAAAACCAGAAAAGCTTAAGAGAGATGAAGTTGAGATTAATCATTCAAGAATGTAAGAAACTAGCCCGAGGATCTCTAGATGGCACCCCTCTCGCTCTGAAACTCCTTCAAAAAATTCTTCAAATCCTGGATGAAATCTGTTGTGAACCACAGATCGAAATCCCAAATGTTATCGTTTACATGTTCTCTGGAGACAAGCTTGTGGCCTATTTCTCAAGTCCCATTCACTACTTCCTAGAGTCTTCAGTAGCGAAAGGAAAGGACTGTGAAAGAATGATGTACATGGATCTGAAATCGACTGATGGACGGGATATGATGGCTGCTCAACTTCTTGGCTTTTTATGGTTTGGTACAGAAAAAATGTATAAAGAAGACTTTCAGTTCCCTTATGATGGCCGAATTTCCTCTTATGCTGAAATGGTGAGTGATACACTATTCAAACGTTTTGAGACCCTCAATTTTCGAAATCCTATTTACAGACTGACTCTGTAACAGTGAGCTGAAGTTGCTAAGGTTTACTTTAACCAAAAATTAAATGAGCACCATAGCAGGCATTCCTTCCCAGTCCCTAAAATTATTTGGTATTTGTATCTCTGTTTATTTTTTATAACATGTATCGGAATTTCCACCGTATATTTTCAGTATGAAAACGAAATTATAACAAATGGGCGATGGGGTGTAAAGAACTTAACACGGCCGCAATTCTCGAATGAAGATGGAACGGTAAGTACGCCTTGATCAACAGCTCAAATACTCGAAATAAGTTTCAGTCACATTATGACACCTCAAAAATCAATCCGTAAAAAGCATATAAACTCGCCATCCTACGCTATACAACGAAACTCTACGACACTTTTTACAAACAAAGTCGAGAACTATAAACGATGACCTCGTTCCCAGATGCAAACTCCGAAAGATTTCTTCACGGTACCAAAAGGATGGACGTGGGAAGGCGAGTGGGAAATTCAGCCAAAGAAAGGTTCGCTAGTTAGCGAAGAGTTCACACTGAAAGAATGGGTTGACAGAAGATATGAGACGGTGAACTATTTTGATCCGGGTGATATCGAGACTCAATGGTGGAACAAGGTTCTCATTTTTATTGATTTGGAGAGTCATGCAGTGTGAAAAGAGAAATGAAGCAAGTTTAGAGAATGCAAGTTTAAACAAAGGAGTTAGTTGAAAAACTAACACTTCTAATCTATTACATTCAGGACATGATAGAATCGAGCGCTAAAGATGAAGTTAAGTTGTCCAGTGACTGGGAGTGGACACATGAGTGGGTCATTGACTCAGAGGAACCTGGAGACGTTGATGGTAAATTTAAAATTTCTTTAAACTTAAAGGTTCTAATCGACATTTTGTCAATGCCTCAAAACATTTTGTCATGAATGCCAAACAACTTTTTCTAAAATGGTAGGGAATGAAATATCGAGAGGTGTAATGTTCGGCCACCGTATATTAGATTAAATAGATCGAATGTAAAAATCAACAGATAAATTTCACAGTATAGATTTAAGTTCGAACTAACTCCGTTCATTTAGGATGGTCCTACACACATAGTCCAGATAGTCAGACATACACATGCTCTGAGAAGAAAGGAAATTCGTTTAAGAGAAGAATGTGGAAAAGAGAAAGAGTCAGAAATGGGCCTCCAGTTCTGCCCGATATAAAGGTATGCTAATTAGGTGATCCTGCTAATTATGTGCTAATTAGGTGATCCTGCTAATTATGTGCTAATTAGGTGATCCTGCTAATTATGTGATAATTAGGTGATCCTGCTAATTAGGTGATAATTAGGTGATCCTGCTAATTATGTGCTAATTGGGTTATCCTGCTAATTAGGTGCTAATTAGGTGATCCTGCTAATTTGGTGCTAATTTGGATGATCCTGCCCTTGTTTAATTGTGATTATGTATGGGAATAAGCTGTCAGAATGATATACCAGCTATGTGAAAATTAGGCCAGCTATGTGTTCATTAAACTATTCCAATTCTCACCTACTTCCAAATAAAGCTAACCCCTGCTAAGTCATTTAAATTTTAACCTATTAGCGCCATAATTTTTCAAGATTATAGAAATAACATACTTTAAATTAAAACTTCGTGATTTGTTAATGTCAAGAAAAAAGGAGCCGTTATAATGTTCTCAATTCAGGAAGTTGTAGAAAAGAAGGGCGGATGGGTGTACAGCAAAACATTCAAGAGCAAGTTCAATATTGAAGAATTATCAACTGACATGGTCAGACGAAGAAGATGGATTCGAAATATGTCCTCAATGGATCCTTGTAAGTTCTTGAGACAGTGATCTCCTGATCTCTGATCAGGAGTAAGAATTTCTCGACTCTAGATTCTAGAGTGAATCATTAACTACTCTTACGTCAGTTTGATCAACCATTTCTATTTTGGGCCATATTTTTGATTTTAAGACAAAAAGTTACATAAAATATGTATATCATTGTAATTTTAATTTCGTAGATGCTGTTACCTTCTCGACAAAAACAGCAAACGCGGTGGTCACAGTAGCTCCCTCTCTGTTATTGAAGTTTCCAGGTAGACTGCCGACTTACTTACTTTAGGTTGAAACCATATGAATGAACCATGCGTAATATTTTTTACTTTGAAAGATGCTTACCTCTCTCTCATCTTGCATACTTGTTTAAAGTCTATTGTTTTACGAAGGTCAATTATGTTTTCATCACTCATTATATTCCCTTAAAACTTAAATAATATTTGACAGATATGCTCCGTTACGAAGTTCGAGTTCACATCTTCCAAGGGAGGACCCTCACTTCCCCCGACATTATGGGATACGTCAGTAAGTCAATATATGGTGCTATTTTGCAATCTAATAACAGCAAAGGATATAAGGTAAGCGAAATTGGGCCTATCTGGCTCATTTCAGACGGCACTATAATGCGTATTGGTCATATGGTGCAACTGGAGGGGGTTCGTAGCAGCAAACCTGTGTTTCATTTGGCTCTGATAACTCCATTGGTTTTATCAAAAGCTTTCAGTGGTGCTGATAGCGGGTAATATTTCCAACGCTGCATACGATGTTTTTAGGGCCAATGGATTTTACAAAATATCGACGATCATGTTTACATTTGTGTTAACTGTGATAAACGTCACTATACCTATGGCTATTGGCTATATGCTTATATGCTTATATGCTTATATGCTTATATGCTTATATGCTTATATGCTTATATGCTTATATGCTTATATGCTTATATGCTTATATGCTTATATGCTTATATGCTTATATGCTTATATGCTTATATGCTTATATGCTTATATGCTTATATGCTTATATGCTTATATGCTTATATGCTTATATGCTTATATGCTTATATGCTTATATGCTTATATGCTTATATGCTTATATGCTTATATGCTTATATGCTTATATGCTTATATGCTTATATGCTTATATGCTTATATGCTTATATGCTTATATGCTTATATGCTTATATGCTTATATGCTTATATGCTTATATGCTTATATGCTTATATGCTTATATGCTTATATGCTTATATGCTTATATGCTTATATGCTTATATGCTTATATGCTTATATGCTTATATGCTTATATGCTTATATGCTTATATGCTTATATGCTTATATGCGCATATATTGCGCATAATTGCGATGATTCTCGCATTTTCCTTGTTACGAACTATGCTGCTGCAGTCACGGCTGACAGAACGATTTTTCAGCGGTGTACGGGATTGTTTGTGTTTCTGGAGTTACTCATGTGACAAGGACAATCGAGCACCAGCTCTCTCCTACCTTCGACCAGACCCTTAAGTTTGAGGATATAGAGGTTATAGGGAGTTCTGAGTACCTACACTTAACTCGACCTAAAGTTACCATCCTCCTCTTCCACAAGGGACCCCAGGTACCTGACACAAGCTGTCTCTTCTTTTATCCAATTAGAGAGTTAATTAAATTCTGTATTATAGTCTCCTCAGTTCTTTTGTGATATTAGAGTATTAGCGCATTCCAGCGCTAATTAGCGTATTTAAAGCTCACTTTTCGTTCTCTCGGTTCGTGCCCTTTTGTGGTACAGGGATTGGCGACGGTCCGTGAAAAGCTGCAATTCACTATTTCAGCACAAATGATACGTACATATCCCAGGGAGATGTGTTTATTGGCAGAACGTCTATGTTTCCTGATATTGCCAATATTGGAGTCAGTCACCGGATGAAGTGGCATGAAGTAGAGTTGAAGGGAAACTATGCGGGAGACATTTTGGGGATGGCACAGATCTACAGATCTCATACTCCCGAGGATAAGGCATTGTTGCCATTTGATCCCCCTGTCATGCCAGACGGAATGTTTCAGCTTCCCCCAGGAATCAGACCAGTTATGAAACTTACTAGAATCGAGGTCAGTTATTTTCATCGTTTTCCCTACTTTAGATTTTCAACTAGGGACCATATGGGGTTTGTAATTATGTAAACTTATGTATAGTTGATACATTTTATCGTGCTATATTGTTCAGACATACAATTAAATAAAACGTGAACACTGATCTCCAAACCAGATTTTATCGTGGGGATTACGAAAGCTTAAGTTTTGGAACTCCAAGCCAATTGATCACCCACGAATTGAGATTGAATGCGGAGGCAGCACAACGACACTGGCACAAATTGAAAACGTTAAACTCAACTCCAACTTTCCTGAGACCAGTACCTTTTTCGATATTTTGCTGCCAGAAGGAAATACCTACAAACCACCCATCAACATTAGACTTCTCGACAAAAGGGGCAATGGATTTATTCCACTGGTTGGGAAATATGTCGTCACCGAGTTTGCCAAGTAAGAGCTCCAGTAAATGAGAAAATCAGTTTTGTTTATCAATGTGGAACTGGAAAAGAAAATGCAAACGTTACGTTGTAGTTTTGTAATAATATCCCCATACTCCAGGTTTGACCCAGAATATCTAGCGAAGGTGATGGCAGCTACAGACAAGATAGAGAAGCAGGGAGGAGGTGGTGGAGATGAAGAGGAAAACTCTTTGTATAGCTCTGAACATGGAACCTCTGTCAGTACTGACAGTACTGTCGTCATCATCGGTGAGTGCTTCTTTCCCCCTGTACTTTGGGCAACATTTTTATCGCGTTTTATTTGGAGTGAACATTTGTAATGTTTTATTGACCAGTTTACAACACACAGACTAATAACAAAATAACACTTGTCTTGCCAGAGGACGAGAACGAAGGCCAGACAGGGTGCATGGCATGTCTCAGTAAGATGGTAAAGGTGGTATCCTCCCTCATGGGTACTGAGGTGTTAGATGAAACTGATGATTGGGAGTTTCTGAGCATGTACTGGTGGTCCCGGTATTACGCTATGCAAGGTAACTGGTTTTGAATAAATATTATAGAACTGAAACATGTCAAAATTCTGTGACATATGAAAAAAAATTTGCTTTTTCTCAATAACAAAAATGAAATTGCCTATCTATTAAAATGAAAACAGAAAAATTCAGGAAACACGCTTTTGTACAAGACATTCAAACACCATGAGCTTCCGATGATATCGGTATTCGAGAAGGAGATTGAATTTTACTACAACAACTTTGCTGACTCGATCCAACAGTTCAAGTTGCAAACTGTGGCAAAACTAAAAGAGTCAAAAACTGACGAGGACTTGGAAAAAGATCCCATTATTGGGGTTTACAAAGGTGAGAATCATTTTAGTAAATTAAAATAGCGGCCAACATTTCGCTCGATAGTTATCCAAAAATTATTCAAATATTTTACTTTTAACAGCTCATCACTGAACTTCATACAATATTATTTCAGGGTCATTTAGGATATACCAGCTAGAAGATGGGGTAGAAAAACCTTTGTTGTATGCTTCAGTTCCAACCTCGAAACCTCTGAGAGTATTAATCAGAGTATATTGCCTGGAAGGAATTCAGCTCGCCTGTAACAGCCCTATTAAAGACAGGTTAGATTATAGACCTAGAGCTGAGACCTACAGCTGAGTTTCTTTATAAAAGAAATAAAATATTTAATATTTATGGATCAACCTGATTAATAATGTTAAGTGTAGTGCTCATTTGTCATTTATTACGCCAGTAACAAATCAATAAAGAGCAACCTTTTACCTCTTCCATGCTATACAGGTATTGTGATGCCTATATCCAGCTGCAGATCGGACCAAAAATCATCAAAGACGTTGGAAGTTTAGTCCGCAAAACCAGAAACCCACGGTTCTCCAAGATTTACAATGTCGAGACTATTCTCCCAAACTTTACAGAGCTTTCTGTGTCCGCCTACGACTTCGAGGCAACCGAGGAGAAGCACGACAAATTGATTGGAGAGACTAAGATAGATATTGAAAACAGATTCCTTTCAATTAAACGACCTATCTGTTCACTGATTGAACGTTACATGATGTAAGTTTAAATTTTAAAATTTTTCGACATAATATATTGGATTTAAGGTTTTAATAAGAACGTCATTTTATTATTTGCTTCTGAATCCCATATCAATTATCGACTATTCGAACAGAGTATCATAATCATATCTAATGTTTTTCAGAGGTGGTCCACACAAGTGGCGGGACTTCATGATGCCGACTCAGATACTGGACGAGTACTGCGTTGCAAATGGAATCTTCCTTCCGTCCTACAGCACGGATGGTACTACTTGCATTATTGGTAAGTCTTCTGTCGCATTATGTCACGGTACTCAAAGTGGATGGGAAAATTAATAAACAATTCTCTTTCTGATATCTATTTCAAATTTCACATCCAATTCCTTTTTACCCACAGCTAGCGAGGCATACACATTGGAAGAGTTTGAAAAGCACAAAGAAAACTTTGAAGACAGGAAGGTTTGGGGTCCTGCTAAGGAGAGGGTAGCCTTGTATGTGTTGCTAGAATTGGGGCTTATCCGTGACCATGTGGAGAAGAGAAACCTCTACAACCCTGTTCTACCCGGTAACTACTAAATAATATATTCAGAGCAATTTATTGATAGAGACTAGCAAATACAGGACTGGAAGAGTGGGCTAGTTAGAACTTTAGATTGATTTTAGACAGTACAGTGGGTAATGAACAAATAAAAAAGATCAAAATCTAGCAATTACGAATAAAACAATCATGATAGCAGCAAAAGAAAAATATTTATTTGCTGATCCTGTTGCTTTCTTGGCACTGCCTGAAATTCTATAGTTACACTCTCAGCTATAAATGGAACATCTTTCCTACTCCCAAACCAACGTTAGAAACTTTGCCTCAGGGGTGTCACAAGGTAGGCTGCTGATGTGGTGCGACATATTCCCTTATATGGAGAGTCCTCCAGAACCCATGAACATAGACCCTCCTCTCCCAGTGGAAATGGAGCTCCGGGTCATTGTGTACGACTGTATTGACGTGAGTCCTTTTCTTCGATATACTCTTTATATAACCTCTGATATTTATCTGATATCTACTTGATATTTATCTGATATCTACTTGACAAATCTATTTTGGTTTACTTGATGTATATAGTCTTGGCGGAGACAAGGGTGTTAGTGCTTCACCTGATTATTTTATTTTTAATTCCAGTTTAATGTATAATATATCATCTGAATGACCCAAACTTGCGTGCTCAATGATTGATGAATATTAGTCTGCTATTATACTCACCTAACGAAATGTTAGGGTGAGAGAGCTATGTTTAAATCTTACTATTATATTACTATGGCAGTGAAGTTTAGCTTAAATGACTCATGAAATTAAATGCTACAATGCTGTGTAGATTCACTATCACATACACATAGCGATTTAATATGCTAATATGAGTAGAGGTGGAGTCTTATAAAGTTATAACCTGCACTTCCCGCTCCGATGATTGAATAAGTTCTATCACCGCTGTTGTGCGCATGTTGTGCTCATGACACACACCCATGATCTCGTTACTATTCTATGTGATTGGGCAACCTTGTGCGATCTGTTCGGCCGCAGACCACTATACTGCCTGTGAGTCACAGTGGGGAAGTCACGGTTACATTGCTCCCTCTAATTTACAGGCAACCTTCACAGTGGTATTGACGTTACAGTGCGTCATGAGGGCTGAGGAGGGGGGGGGGGGGGGGCGTTTAATTGCATTTTATGAAATGATTGGGTAGCGTGGGTTAACACTGTCCTTACAGTCTGTCTACCTGTATCTTAGCTCACATGTGGTTGTAGGTATATGAGACATTGGCACAGTGGGGTCGTCTAAAACATAAGGCGAACTGTTACTATATCTTACTATAACACGAGACGCTATAAAGCTTTCACTTTAAAGCTTTTGAAACTATGTTTACATAAACTGAGGGTCAAAGGCTCATTAGAGGGCCTGAAATATTATCTGAATAAAGTTCAAACAGACATAAAATTATTACAAGTCTAGATAAAGACAAAGCTGGAGCCTGGACGAAAGGTGGAGTATAATTCATGAGCACATATTAATACTAATAGTCCTGTCGATGACAATTAGTTTTCACTTTTACAGCCTTTAACTTACTTTCACGTTGCTGTTTTGCCAAATTATTAATAAAATGTTGTCAGTTACGTATCACACGGTTTTTGTGTGCGAGAAAACTACCGAATCTTGCAAAATTGTGTTTGCATACTTTCAATTTTGGAACCCACACAAGTCGAACTGTGCGAGTAGTAACTGACAATGTAGCTCCTTATTCATTGTGACTTGATTTTGTGATTATGATCTCTTAGATTAGTAAATAATTTTTGTCTTCATCTTATTTCAAAGATGTAAATTTAGGTCTAGGCATCCCCAAAAGATGTCGATCGATGAACCAGTCCATTTCTTATTTGAAACATTATGTCCTGATGGATATCCATTTATAAAAAGTTTCATATCTCCGCATCGGCTCTTACTAATTCGCTCGCCCAAAAATTTCACGTGACTTTGGTGGTTTCACGTGACTTTTATGGTTTTACAGCCATTTAGTAGGAGCGCTCCGCATCATGACCTGCTCATGAAACATATCGCAGTGTCGATACAAAGTTGCAAACACTGGAGTCAGTGCAGTACTTTTCTTGAAGGCTTTATTTAAAACGATCATTAAAAATACCACAAATGTCATAGACATTATAGTTATACTCTACGTTAGCCCGAAGTTTATTTGGGAATTGGTCTTTCATCTGGCCGCCAACAAAGATGCCCAATAAGCTCGGGAAAGTCACCAGAAAACGAGCCCAACTGAACAATATCCGTAGTTACTCAGCTGAATTATGAGTCCAGAAATGTTGGTAGCTAGATATATATTATATAGTTCCATCTGAATACTCAGTACTCTCATCTTCTTTCATAAAGTCTTTGACAATCTTGTGTCTGTCTCCATCATGACATCTCACCATAACGTCCTTTTATTTATCAAGGTGGTACACGGCTTCGGCCGTGTTGCTGTGATACCTATAAATTTAACGGTTTCCCCATTTTAACCATGTGGGCAGTCAATCATTAGTTTTGAAAATTATATTTCAGGAAACTAAATACATTTTAATCGAAAACAGGTGCAAATAAATCTTAACATATGCTAATATTATATGCATATATATAATATATACTATTTGTGAAAAATTCAAATCAAAATCAACATCTGTTATAATAGCCCGTACATGTTCATTCGAAACGGCTTTTCCACATTTTTGACGTTTTCGAGTATTAAATATGTATTTTGACATTATTTTACATGCGTTTTCGGGTATTATGTATATGTTTTGTGATAAATTTAAATGTCGTGTTCGAGTATTATGCATGTATTTTGTTATTGATGTACATGGTCACTGTATTCTTGTGCAAATTTGTATTGATCCCGTTTGATGCGACAAGGAAAAATGCTCTTATCAGGAAAGGAATTATTCAATGTTTCAATGCTACAGCAAATTTCTTAAAACGATGTAAACGACGACAAGTTTTTCCAGTCTTCATTTTAAACAGTTTGTCACATCAGCAGTCATTATTTCCCATCTGTAATCATGTGTAGTATATTTAGTCTTGTAGTAGTTTTAGGATTGTACGTTATTTACTATAAAAGTTTGTCGTCGTATGAACTAATTTTGTTATGAATTTTTGTTATAAATTTTTTGTATCGCATTTTTTGGATAAAGTTGATTGAATTAAAAGTAAATAATTGTAAACTAATTTTGCCTCAGATCTATGTTTTTTACGTTTTGAATTTTTGATAGAAATATTTTAAGATCATGAATACGAGTAGATGTTGTAACATTGAAACGTTGAAACGTTGAAACGTTGAAACGTTGTAACATTGAAACGTTGTAACATTGAAACGCTGAGTAATTCCTTTCCTGATAAGAGCATTTTTCCTTGTCGCATCAAACGGGATCAATACAAATTTACACAAGAATACATTGCAACCATGCGACTCATAAACATTCTAGTGATAGTCTAGATCCGGATTTTACATGGTCACTGTTAAATTCAACATTTGACCAATTTCCCAACCCTTGAAGGATTTACAACCCCGATTTCGGTGTTTGCTGGCTACATTTAGTTTACTTCTATATTGTTTTCCTCCAAACTTTCTGTAGAGATAATACAAAAGTCAATTTTGTGACTCAAATTTTTGCCATAGTCTCCACATTCGACAAACATTCGTCATACGGTTTGCCTCATTCTCAAGTCTTTCGACCGATTTGTTTCCTTCTGCCTTCGCTTCATTGCAAAAATTGTTACTCTATAAAATTTATTGAATATGACATTGAGTATGATTATTTATTGTTATATAAAATATATCTATCCAGTATGCATCGAGTGACCGTCAAATTTAACCTTTGTTTCGTTAACCTTTGTTCTTTTAAAATGCACGCACCACATGAACTTTGGCGGACCTTTGTTATTAGTATAGACAGCTAAGACACGTGCCGTACTATTAGACGGCTCATTTTGGGTTACAATTGTAATTGTTGCACAGGGACCATGTGGGTTTCGCTGACAAAAGTAATACTACATGATAAACATCATACGGTATTTCTTGGTCGATGATTGATGGTTATATCTGGTTTTTGTACAGCCACTCCTCATCAACTCCCCATTAATAGCATTTTACTGCCAGTAGGTTTATCCACTGTCCAACTACCTGAGCTCACCAGTAATTACCCCACATCACAAGCCCATCCTCTCAGGAACTCCGCTATTTATAGGCAGACTCCCAAAGAGTTGTTGTTGTAGTTAGTGATCTCTAACGTCACAGCACATGACGTGTGGGGGGTCAGATAGTTTGATTTAGTCCCCTAGTCCAGTCCTTATATCATTGGAGTAATTTCCTCACCTAAGTCTTGTAACTATTATATTCTTACATTTATTGGGTTTATATCGCTTAAAATTACATTGTATAAACCAGCCTTTGTATCGAAGGCCGTAACAGATACTCAGATACACTATACAGCCAGTACGACATTTGGGTTTTAAGGAATAGAAGCCAATTGGTCAAAAGTTTTGCAAATTTTTCATAAATTTTTTTATACCATGAAATTAGAAAATACTGATTGTTATTTTGGGTAAAGCAAAGGTCGCTTGAACGCAAAATTTCTACGTCATTTAAAAGACAATGATTGTTCAAACATCGTAAAGTTTAATTTAGGGTAGTCTCCCACAAGCTGCAGCTGGCTAACGAAACTGTCGGTACTTGGTATGCAGTGTGCGACACTTTTGGGTTTTTGGGGAATCACGTTTTTAGGAATAGCAAGTTCGATGTGATATCACGTTTGCAGTTTAACTTAATGTCGTACTCCTACCTCCGTAGTGCACTTGACCGAAGTGACCGAAATGACTTTAGAGGCCAGTTCATTTCATCAAAATCTCGATGCGATGAAACATTGATTAAAACTTTAGAAGCCAGACTTTAAGCTTCACAGACTATAAACATTAACAACACAGACCTTCAAATTAGTTAGTTAGATAAGTTTTCTGCGGTATTTGTTGCGCAAGGGTCATGATAAGTTTCCAGTGTTAACGTTGTAAGCGATGTTCTGGGGGTAGAGCTCGTGATTAAATTCAATGTTGAGGTGTTGATCCACGATTTGAGAGGTGATATTTTGATCCTGTGCACGTAAGACTAATTTGTCATTAAACAACAATATCATTCACTCATTCATAATGAGCACGTACTGAAGTTATGACATTGAGCTCCTATAATATGGTCGGACGTTTGATCTGAGGGTTGATTTGCAGGTTAGTAAGGAATTTAAGTCTCAAACTTGTATACTCTTATACTTTCATCTAAAGCATAAACAGGGTGTTTCAAAAATTGTGTCCAAACACTGAGTACCGCTCGCTTACTGAAGGTTTGTCTGCAGCTCCTATATAGCCACCTTCATGCACCAGTAATCATCCACTAACGACCATGATAATAGTTGATTAA